ATTTAAATGGAAAATTAATTCAAAAAAAATTACAATATTAAAGAATTATAATAGGTAAGAAGAGATACTTGATTTTGTCGGTGCTCATCAAATCCATGATATTCTAAGGCAGAAATAGTAAACAACACTCCAACAATTTTCATTTAATAATGAGATTAATCATTTAGTTACTGGTCCAGATAGCTCGAGTGGTTTGGGGCTTCAAGAAAATATCTTTGAGGTCTTGGGTTCAAGTCACATTCTAGATAATGTGGAGCCTATGAGAATAGTTAAATTTTGTAAATGATGATAGGACTAAAAAATGACGTTATGTTTATTTACATAATAACGGTCTGGTATTCTAAAACTTACTGATTATATAATCCTCTGTCAAGAAAGATTATTATTAGTTGAAACGTGATTTTTAATGAAGAGGAATATTGGAACTGGATGAAGCTTGTGAAGTTAACATTGATGAAAATAGAGGTGTTCAAGATTTGGAGCAAGTAGGGAGTCACACAGTTGCATTATCTTCATCTTTATCACCATCTTCCCTAGTGATGAAGAAACCTCACCGAAGAGAATAATGAGAAAGATTCAAGAAATTTATAATCTACTAGTAGAAATGATGATCTTGCTAATTTTGCAATATTTGCTGGTGTTGATCCCATGAATTTTGATGAGGCAATTAAAGATGACAAATAGAAGATTGTAACGAATCAAGAAATTGATGTGATAAAAATAAATGAAACATGGGAGTTGTTAGAGAGCTTCCTTCAAATAACCAAACTCTTGGAGTGAAATGAGTGTATATAACAAAGTTGATGCCGAATGGTGAAATTCAAAAATACAAGGCAAAATTTGTTGTAAAAGGTTACAAGCAAGAGCATGGAGTGAATTATGATAAGATTTTTGCTCATGTGACCAGAATTGAGATCATTCGATTGGATTTGTCTTTACCTACTCAAAATTGATGGAAAGTTTATCAAATGGATGCAAAGTTCACTTTTTTAAATGGATACTTGAAGCAAGAGATATTTGTTGAACAATGCATTGGTTATGTGAAAAAAGGACCAGAAGAGAAGACGTACAAGTTGAAAAAGGTCTTATATGGGTTGAAGCAAGCTTCGCAAACTTGGTATAGTCGCGTGATTTCGAAGGGGTCCATATGAGCACGCACTCTATGTCCAAGAAGGTTAAGGATGAAAAATTTCTTATTGTTTCATTATATGGCGATAATTTACTTTTTACTAGAAATGATAAATTAATATGTGATGTCTTTAAGAATTCATGACAAGGACATTTAAAATGAGTGATATGGGTCTCATTCATTATAAGTTCTTGTCTCTCCAAATTTGTGTAAGGCTACCCTTTTTTCTCGTCTCTTGAGTTATGTTGTGAGAGCATGTGTTGTTTCCAACAACTACAAAGATGATGTGTCACTATGTGTTTAGAAGATGTTGTAACATGATGTTGAGGTTGATCATTTTTTGGTTAAGTAGAAGTAGGAGGTTGATGGATGGATGCTACTTCTTCCAGAGTTGGTTCAGCTCCCATTCTTTGAACTTGATTGATGACACCTAAGTCGATATATACCTTATAAAAGGTGAGCTCCTTCTCATCATTGATTCGAACACTAGCCTTTTGTTGAGGATAGCGATACTTTAATTATGCTTACAATGGTATGATATTGTCCGTTTTGGGCATAACTCTCACAACTTTGCTTTTGGTTTCACCCAAAATGCCTCATATCAATGACGATAATTGTCCTCATCTATGTACCATGGATTGCAATTCTTACAAACCAAACAAGCCTCCCCTCGAACAAAGTACCACAAAGTCCTTCCTCAAGTAGTTAACCATCTGTCCACTCCCGAACCAGAATGAGAGATTGCTCTTATCCAAAGCTCAAGGCACACTCCGATATAGCACAATCAAGAATAACACCATGACTACACCTTTCGAGGCTCACCAACTTCTTTATTCGACACTTGAGGATTCCACTGACATAGCGAAGTTTAAACCATAGTTGTGATATCACTTGTTGAGGACAATGATACCAAAGTATCCCAAAGTCTCTCCACAATGATATGTTAGTGTCTGCTTTAGGCATAACCCTTACAACTTTACTTTTGGTTTTACTCAAAAGATCTCGTACCAAGCGCCAGCTTAGACAGAAGTCACCACTTAGGCAAATTTTCAAACCAAGGAGAAACTTCTCTGCTAGGTCGAACTCGGACCAACCAAAGAGGTGGCCAATGTTTGGGGGTTGAAAATCGTACTGCCATGTGGAGGAYAGAGAAATTTCTAACTTTGAAGATCTTCCCTTTGGTGGCCGACCTAAATTGGCCAACCTGAAGATCCTCCCTTTGGTGGCTGACCTGAAGTGGCTAACCTAAAGAGCTCCATTGAGGACCGACCTGAATGTTTTTCCTAAAGAGCTCCTTGAGGGCCGACCTAAAGGCCTTGCCTCATGGCCGACCTGAAGGCCTTACTTAATGGCCGACCTGAGGTCTTCCATGAAGGCCAATTTGAAGGTCTTCTCTGAAGATCATTTAAGGAAGAAACGACCTTCTATACTTAGCCAAATTCCATATGACAAGAGTATGAATTGGAATAGCTACTCCGACAGGCCGACCTTGGTCCCGACATGCTCAACCGTTGGTCGGATTCCTTGTTGGGTACCTCAACCTATAAATAGGGCAGTTCACTCTTCAGTCATATATGGTATCCTAGCTCGGTCTCCATATTGAGGTCGGACTAAACTGACTTGAACGTCTGAGTGTTTTTTCTCTTGTGCAAGTTTTTCCTCACTAAGTGGCCTTTCAGCTCATTCCTGACACCAGCTCATCCCAGTCAGCCGACGTTGACCCTTTGAGTTGGTCATCCCTTTCCAAGGATACCCAAGCTCTTTCTCGGTCATACCTGGAGCAGGTCATGCTCTCTCGATGGTCATACCTGGAACAGGTCGAGTTCTTCCACGTGGCCGACCTTGAGCAGGTCATACCCTGTCACATTTTTTGCATAAACAAAATGTACTTGTATGTTTTAGGGAAAGGGAAAAGGTCTCAAGATAGTGAAGGAAAACCGTGTTGTTAGTGAGGTAATTATTGGTGTATACATGTATTGGCATTCTACTTATGATATTTGAATAGTATAGTGGTGTACATGTATTGACTTTTGTATTTTGTTAATTCATGAATTGGTATATACATGTATTGACTTTCGTATTTGTTAATCCATGAATTGATATATACATGGACCTTTTATTTTTTATAGTTGAGTTGCATGTTGATATATACGTGTATTAAATTCTAATTTTGATTTTTCTTTAATTGGTATATGGACATTTATTGACACATCGTTTAAATGAACCAAAATTCAAACTAATGGCACATCGTTTAAATTAACTTAAATTCAACCCAAAATAGTTACGTGGTTATATATAAGAAAAAACTCAAAAAACATGGAAAAGGGTATTGTTGGAAAATCACTCTATTTTGTAAAAATACTAAAATACCGTTTCGCAATTTGTGCAAAATTTAGAACTAATGGACATTTTTTAAAATGGGGGCCAAAATTTAGCGACCCACCAAAATTATCCAATTTTGTAACTGGTGGCCGATGGCGCAATAGCTAGAACTTTGGGCCTTGTATATCACACCTACCATGACAAGTCTTAGTTACAGGGATCTACAATTACGAGGCATGAAAACTGAAATAGAAAAAAGAAAAAAAAAATCTAAAATTGAAGAGGGAGATGAAGGTAAATTTTTTTTTTTATTACCAAAGACTCGACGGCCCTTTAACCTTTGTGTTCCTATACCATGAGGGTATGCACTGTCTTCATGCTTGTACATTCACTAATGACAACTCAAGACCTCAAGGATTCAGAGGCATCCTAGCTATCCCTTGAAGACAAAGACGAGGGTAAAATTGAAAATTGAAAATAGAGGAAGCTGTATTTGAAAATATGTTTTCTATGGGAGAAGAAAAAATGCAAATATAATACTTTAATTGCTACGTATTAAAAGTAGGGTTTAAAATAGAGGTGAGTGATGTACGTAAAATGTCCAATAACACATTGTTATAGAGCAAGAGAGTGCGTGATATGGGTGACAGGAAAACCCAAGCGTGCATGCTTAGCTTACTTAATCTTAATTAAAAGCATGGATAAAAAAGTTGGCAATTAGCCATTAATTTAAAACTAATTAAATCAAACAAAGAATAATCTCCTAGTATTATAAATCTGGACCCCAAAAAGCTCCACTTGTCAATCATTTTTCATCACACAAATCTTTTCCAATGTCCTAACTTCCATAAAATAAAATAATATATAAAACTATAGGCCATTTCCTAAGTTAATATACTTTTTTAATCTCTTCCATTGCCACCAAATAATCCACTACCTCTATTGATAGGGACAATAATACTAAAAAATATGCTCTGAATTTAGGCTCAAATATTATATAGGTCCTTTATTTCTTACTTTGGTTCATTTCGGTGTCTATAAATTCAAAACGTCTATTTTGATCATTTTATTTTAAACTTTTGTTCATTTTAGTCTCTATACTTTTAAAATAGTCACTTTTAAATATATGAGGACTAGAACAGACATTTCAATAGTATAGAGAGTAATGAAAGTACACGAACTATAATGGACGTTTAAAAAATACGTGGACAATGAATTCAAGTCAATTCATGTTTTAGGCCACGCCCTTTCCGTATTACTTCTCTAAAAGCTCAAGGTTTTCACACTAACCATTTTTTCCTTTAGAAAAACAAAGCACAACTATTTTAAAAACCATGTCTATTGTCCAGTTGAATCCACTATTAAGGAGATCAAAAAGAACAACTTTTATGCAATCATATCTTTTTTACTAAAATATTAATTATTTCCTTCCAACAATAGAAAAATAATTTGCTGCCTTCATCTCCAATGTCCTAACTTGTTGTAAATCAGAAACTTACATGCATATAAAAGTTTGTACTTGTGAGTTCCAAGAGGGGCCATGGAGAGGATTCTAGGAGCCTAAAAACTTCTCCCCCTCTCTCTTCTCTTCTCTTCACTCAAAACTTCATCTTATAAAATTTCTTCCTTCATTATTCAAAATGGCATCAGCAGGAAATTTGGAATGGAGGGTGAATTTGGGCGATGGTACAACAGAGATTTTGGAGGCAGAAGCGTCATTTGGGCACAAATTGGTGATGGGAATTAAGAGTTTGATAATGGAATTGTTTGTGAAGTGTAGAAAGTTCTTGGAAAAGGCAGGGGGAATAGCAAAATCTGAGCCAAAGAAGGGCGTTCATGGCCTCAAAGTGGGGCTGGCTCTCACTCTTGTCTCCATCTTTTACTATATGAGACCTTTGTATGAAGGCCTTGGAGGCAGCGCCATGTGGGCCATCATGACTGTTGTTGTCACTTTCGAATACTCTGTCGGTTAGTTATTATCTATCGGTTGTAATTTGATCCTTGTTATGTTCAAAACTTACACTTAGATTCCCGTTGAGATATCCATATATGAATTAAATTTAACCAATCTAAATTGAAACTTTTCGATTGAGGGATGATTTATTCATGTTTAACATAGTATCAGAGTGAATGTTTTGTGTTCGAACTTTTGCATTGTTGTTTTCTTCCTATTTATAATGATTTATTCTTATTGGACCTTCGTATAATTATCCAAAAGCTTGCATGTGAGCGAGAGTATTATTGAGATATTCATATATGAATTAAATTATCTAACCCATTAAGTTGAGGGGTGGTTTGCTCATTTCTAATAGTTTGGATGGGATTCGTAATAATTTTCTTACGTGGGAAGTTGGTACTTTTGCAGGTGCATCGTTGTACAAATGTGTAAATAGAGTTGTAGGAACGTCTCTCGCGGGTGGTTTGGGGATCGGCGTTCACTGGGTTGCAGCTGAATGTGGTGATAGATTTGAGCCAATTATTCTTGGGATCTCACTTTTTCTTCTGGGTAAGATTCTCAAAAATCAAAGCTAAATAAAAAAGAAAATTCCGTTGTGGGAATTAAAATGTATTAATTGGGTTTTTGTATTGGACCATGAACGCAGCTTCAGCAGCCACGTTCTCGAGATTCATACCATCAGTGAAGTCGAGATTTGATTACGGCGCAATGATCTTCGTGCTGACGTTCTGTTTAGTTTCCATCTCCAGTTATCGAGTGGACGAGTTGTTGGAGCTCGCACGTACGAGGATCCTTACTATCGCCGTTGGGACCGCCATCTGTCTTGTCGTCAGCATGCTTGTCTGCCCCGTCTGGGCAGGCGGTCAGCTTCACTCCCTCCTTGCCCGCAACATCGATAAGCTTGCCGATGCCATCCATGGTCAAATCCTCACTTCATTCCTATATTTTTTATTTTAACCACTTTTAAGATATTTATCAAATTTAGTCCAAGTAAAAATGACCAACGTCAAAAACTAGTACATGCAGTTCATTTTTAGACCTATCAATGATATATTTTACATTGCTAAATTAATTATTAACTTATCTTAGTATAGTATATTAGGAAAATTGTAGTGTGTAGCAAAAATCTTTTATATATTTCAAAATATGTCACCTGTTTTTAAAATTTTAAATATAGCAAAAAATTTTACTTATGTCAGTTGTATATCAGATACTCATATCAGTAGTATATCAGGTAGTATATTAGACACTCGTATTAGTAGTATATTAGATGTATATCACATACATATTGCACAGACACTCATATCACTAATATATCAGATGTATATTACATACATATTGCAAGTATATCAAAAACTCATATCATATATCAAATGTATCACATACATATACAGTAGTCAGATATATTACAGATATATTCCAGATGTGTATGATTTGGGCAAATTTATCATTTTAAAATTTAACCTCCATTTTTTCTTAAAAGGTATTATATTTGAAAAAACTAAATGTGGTTGCTATTTTGTTAATTTTACTAAATATTTTTGATATATTTGCTCGGAGGTCATAATTTAAAAATTCGTTGAACTTTAAAAAAAAAGGATTAACTTTATTTTGATACAAAAGTGATATGTAGTTATAGATTTTATATTTTTATGTATGAGTGGTATATGAGAGAAAAAAATTATCATAATTGCATCGTTTCTTTTATTCGACTCCTACTTCATTCATTTAACTCCGAGTCTTAAAATTTATTTTAAATTCAGGATGTATTTCGGAGTACTTCAAAGACAAAGATTGCCCCGAGATGAAAAATGAAGATCGAGAGGATCATGCTTCCAAAATTCAAGCCTATAAATGTGTGCTCAATTCTAAGGCATCAGAGGAATCCATGGTAAAATAATAATAATAATAATAACAATAATAAAAAAAAAATCACGAATGACATTCCATCAATTACATCCATAACATAGCCAATGAACTTAAAGTTTTTGTATTTTGACAACTTTCAGGCCAACTTTGCAAGATGGGAACCTGCACATGGCCGTTTTGGGTTCCGGCACCCTTGGAAATTCTATCTCGAGGTCGGTGTTGCGATGCGCAGGTGTGCATATTGCATCGAGGCCCTCAATGGCCGCTTAGATTCAGAGATTAAGGTACCTATAGTTGACAGCAAATCTAACGCGAATTAAAAAGATTTGTAAATATGATATAATTTTCTCGCTGCTCGATGCATTTTAGGCACCAGAGTCCTTAAAATTGCATCTGGCTACACCATGCAAGGCACTCAGCAGCTGTTGTTCCAAGGTCTTCAAGGAACTATCTACTGTAATCAAGACGATGAAAAAATCAAACAAGATAGATTTTGAAGTATCAGACATGAACTTTGCTGTGCAAGAACTTCAAAACACCATCAAGTCTCTTCCAATGGCAGTGTCATTAGCAGAGCCAAATGGGGCCAATGGTGAAGCGACAATTCCACCTCTGATGGAGCTTCTTTCGCTGGCAACATTGGTATCGCTTTTGATAGAAACCGCGTCGAGAATCGAACACGTCGTAAATGCTGTCGAAAAGCTTGCCGATGTCGCCAAGTTCGATTTTGCAGACGACGAGAAGAAGAAGAGTAACCCGTCTTCGGATAACCGTGATCATCATCATGCAGCTATGAAGGTCTTTCCAGAGGCCTGAGTTCATTAGGATCATCAAGTGGTTGGTTATCTCATAACTTGTAAACTAAAATCTCCATTCATACCCACAGTCATAGGCGCTGTATGGTAATTTGAATACTCTGGAGTTTTTTATTTCCCTTTTCTGGGAAATGCAAATCATGACTACACTATATAAACAGAGGGTTATCGTGCCTAATATGCCATTGTACTTTTTGAAAGTCTCACAAGATTTGATAAATATTTATCATCAATCTTATGTTAAATGTATGTCAACAACTTGTCAACAGTGTATCCCTCACATCATATTACCTTTACCTGTATACTAAGATCATGTAAAACAGTTGTATTCCCTATACTATATATACCTCTAAGATGAATTAACAAATCATGAACATTTATTCATTTCTTAAACCTTTTCATAGTATTAGAGCTTTCGACATACATCTTCTTCCTTCAATCTTGGTAACACAGTCGCCGCGTCGACCCTATTCCAATTTTTCCCAATTTTATTATTATTATTTTTCCTTCCAAATTTCAGTTTTTAATTACCCGACCCACATTTTATCCCTTTCCATTTTTGGCCTCATTCCCACATCATCTTTTACTCAATTCCCACATCAAATTTTTTTTCCTTCCCCTCTCCCCGTACACTTTGGCCTGAACCCACCTTCTATTTATTTATTTTTTCTCTTTCTCCTTCAGTTCTTAATTACCCAATTCGCTTTCCCATACCGCGAACTACACAATGACTGATACAAATACTCATTCCAAATCTCACACCGAAATCAACCAATTTTTCACATCTTTCACCCTCGATCGTCAATTCTCTCCTTCACTGCTCTTCCTACTCTCAAATATTTGTATTCCTGTTTTTGTCCGGCTTGACTCCAGTAACTACACTCTTTGGCGTTATCAACTCGACTCCATCTTGAAGGCACACAATCTCTTTGGTTACATTGACGACTCATGTGTTTGCCCCTATCAGCATATTCAAGAAGGCGAGACGACAAAGCTCAATCCCAAATATGCCTTGTGGCACTCCCAGGATCATGCATTGCGAACTCTAATCAATGCTACGTTGTCCTAGTCCGCCCTATCTCTTGTTGTTGGTTGCACTATCTCCAAACAAGTTTGAGAATCTCTTGAACATCGTTACTCATCTTTTACTCGTACTAATATAATTGATTTGAAATCCAAATTGCAGAAAATTCAGAAAAAGGGAACCGAGTCCATCGATGATTATGTTTAGCGAATCAAAACTACTTAGGACGAGTTATCCATTGTCTCTATCCACATTGACGAGGAGGACATCCTAATCTATACTTTGAATGGCTTGCCTCATGAATACAATGCTTTCTATACCTCGCTTCGGGTACGGTCCAATCCTGTTCGTGTGAAAGAACTTCATGTTTTTCTTAAAGCAGAGGAAGCTGCAATCTCTTATCAAGCCAAAGGTGTAGAGTCCATATTCCAACCCACTGTCATGATGGCCAATTATCGCCCACTGTCTCATCATTCTCGTGGACGAGGTCGCCATCCTACCCGTGGTCGGAACACCTGTGGAGGTAGAAGTGGTTTTTCACCATTTCCACCTCGGTCTCAGTCCTCTTTCTCAGCAACATCGCTAGCTTCTCAAGTTCCCTCAACACTTTCTCCATATGAGGTTCCACAGTCTAACAAGGTACACTTTCAAATTTGTGGACAGTTTTGGCATAATGCATTAGACTGTTACAATCGAATGAACCATTCCTTCTAAGGTCACCACCCACCAGCCCAACTTGCTACCCTTGTTGCCTCCACCTCTATGAATGTTGGAGAAGGATCCTATTGGCAATCTGACACTGGTTGCAATGCTCATCTGACCTTTGATTTTACAAACTTGCCCGTCTCAAATGAGTATAATGGTGAGGAACAGGTGACTGTTGGTAGTAGTCAAGCTTTGCCCATCACCCACACAGGTTCTGGCACCACTCTTACTACCCCATCTTCCTCCTTTACTCTTCATAATCTTTTCCTTGTTCCCAACATTACATCCAACTTACTTTCAGTTAATCAATTATGTCGTGATAATAATTCCAACATTTTGTCATCATGTGTGGAAACTTTATAAGTCACTTTATGGCCTAAAATATACCCCTCATGCCTGGTTTGAGTGCTTTACAGGGCACATTACTACTACATTTGATTTTACACCATCTTATGATGACCCATCTCTGTTTGTTTGTTGTGTTGGTATCTCTATCACCTATTTGCTTCTCTACGTGGATGACATCATTCTCACCGGTAATGATGCTGCTTTTGTCACCCACTTCATCTCCAAACTTCAAACCAGGTTTGACATGACTGACCTTGGCAGCCTCAAATACTTCTTTGGTCTCGAGATTGGCTGTCCAGGCAGTGACATTCTGGTTACACACTAAGTATACTCGTGACCTCCTGGCTTGCCAGCAGATGCAACATCCAACTAGTAGTGATCTTACTACAGCCAAATGCATTCTCGATATGTCAAAGGTACCATTAGTCAAGGCATCCGCTTCTCGCCCAGCTCTCTTTCATTTCAGGCCTTCTCTAACTCTGATTGGGCTGGTGATGTTTCCGATCATCGTTCCACCACTAAATATGTCATATTTTTGGGGTCTAATCCTATCTCCTGGCCGGCTAAGAAAAAAATCTACTGTTTCTCACTCTTCTACTGAAGCTGAATATCGTGCATTAGCTGCCATCGCTGCTGAGTTGTCATGGCTTCGCCAACTATGTAAGAATCTTCACATCTTTCTCTCCATCGTCCCAACAGTTTGGTGTGACAACCAGTCCTCCATCCACCTGGCATCAAATCCAGTCTTTCACGCTCTCACCAAACATATTGAAATTGACTCTCACTTTGTTCGTGAACAAGTTGCTCGTAAGGATCTCAAGCTTCAATACATTCCTACCGAACAGCAACTTGCAGACTTATTCACAAAGGCTCACACCATAGATCGGTTTCGGTATTTATCCTCCAAACTTTTGTCTCATTCAAAGGTGTCATAAGTTTGCGGGGGCATGTTAAGTGTATCTCAACAACTTGTCAACAGTGTATCCCTCACATCATGTAACTTTTACTTGTATTCCTAAGATCATATAAAACAGTTATATTCCTATACCTCTAAGATGAATGAACAAATCATGGACATTTATTCATTTCTTAAACCTTCTCATCTTAAAGTTTATTAACCATATCCATACATGTATGTTGTGTGTATATATATTAAACAGCAGCCTTCAAGTCTTCGAACCTCAAATCTTGAATAATTTGCCTTAAAAAAAATCTTTGAATAATCTGTAAGGGACAAGAAGAGCTCCATGTTGAATCAACTTTAAACTTGTTTTGGTTTTAATTCTTGAGGGACCTTCTTTGTGGGGTGTAGGAATGACCAAACTAAATAAGGCGTTTTAAAAAGGCCAAACATATCAAATATTGCATAAATGGTTAAATGGGTTTTTCTTTAAATCCTAAATAAATATTTTGGAGCAATACCCCTGTAACAAATTAAATATATATGCTTAATTTTAGGGATTTATTTGATAGAACAAATAGCAAAAACATTGGAGTTTAATTGTAAGGAATCAATTGTATCTCATAAAACAATCAAATAAGAAACAATCAAGTAACAAACAATCAAATTTAGACAACCTAAATCTAATTTAAATTGGTACTCTATATTTTGAAAGCTGATTTTGAAAATAGATTTTAAACTTACTAAAAATTTGTTAAGGTAGATTTTGAAATTTATAGATTTAAAATCTAAAATTCCTAAATAGGAAGGGATAAATATGAATATTTTACCTAAATTTAAGAAAACATCCTAACCTTGAGTTTTGAAGAAGAGGAATCTAGGGTTTCTTATCATTGTAACATGCATCCTTCATTTTTGCCTCACATCTCCACCTACAGTCCTCCACAACCCCCTCCTTGTAGTCGCCGATCAGTCCTCTGATAACGCTTCCAACGTTCAGCACTTATCCGGTGGGAAGTCCTCTATCTGCCATCTGCGCGCCCCACGTCTAGCATTGACTTCTTCTGTCTTACACCGTCGGCTTCTCCCGTCCACGTCCGGCATCGACTTCTCTCATCTGACACCAGCCGCATGTCCACACGTCCACCATCAACCCCAAATGAGTTCCACCACAACCACAAGTTCTACCACCGCCTGCCACCCAGATCCACAATTTTGCCCGCCGCCCAGATATGGTGTGACTCGCCACCCCGATCCGCCGCAGTCAACATCGACCTGCAGTCCACTGTAAGTACAACAGTCTTTTTGTTTTGATTTTAGGACTTTGAACAACGAAAAGGGAACAAAAGAAAAGTTTAAAAATTCCTTTTTTTTTTTTTTTGCCTACCCCCAAACTTAACTTTTTGCTTATCCTCAAGTAAACATAATGACTTTATCTCTAATGATCTCATGCATAATACAAAAAAGTTAAATATGAGTGTGAATCTCATCTTATCAAATTCTTCCGCACCTAAATCATGCTTATCCCTGAATATATCGTAATACAACATACACACACCTTTCTAATCCCCTTTTATCTTTCTGAATAACCAATAATACAAGAAAAGTCACTGACACATCTGTGAAATGAATCAAAATGACAACCAAGAGTATAAGCAATGATATGATATAATTTATAAAAACTCAAGCATCTCATTAACTCATTAAAATCGAATGGAAAAGACTTAACACCCTCACGGAATTTCACTCAAGTCTCTCAAAGTGTTTTTAAGGGTGTTTTCAACTCTCAAAATCAAAACAAAGCATGTTATTACCATAGGCTTGCAAATGACTCAAATCTCCCCACTTAAAGATGAATTGAATGCAAAAATGAAAGGGACTTTGATAAAGGTTGTAACAGGGCTTAGGTAAAGGTGAAATAAAAGGAAATTTAGAGGTTCAAAGTCATTATATAAAAATTATAAGCTGCATGATAATCACATAAGACAGTGAACATGTTGTACTACTTTTCACCTGAATATTTGTCCACATCTTCGARTACATTCAACCTTGGAAAAGTAGCATTATAAGTGACTGCTTCTTGATACAAATTTCTCCAATTGTCTTTTCTTTATTACTGAATGAAGTATAATTTTTTTTTATGCAACATTACTTTTCTTCTTTTTTTCATCATTTTTTTAAGTAGTACACAACTTGCATAATGACTTAAAAAAACGAATGTGATATCATGCAATGTTTTTACACTTATCTTGACAATGGTGGAAATA